AATAAAGAGAGATTCTATTTTTGCACACAATTGTCCTTTATTTTGTACATCAGGAAGGGGGACTAGGGAGGGGTAAGTGGAAGGTGAGGGAGGAATGGGGCACGAGCCCCCGATGGGGAGGACTGGGCTGGCTCTGTGGGCTTCTGGGGGTAGAACCTCTCCTGCAGCCCCCCAATTGCCCCCTCTCCCCAGATGGCAGCCTGCGGCAAGTGCAGCCAGGCTGATGGCCGAGTGCTGTGATGTGCCCAGTGTGGGTACTCCGGGCACTCCAAGCCAGGACTGCTTTGCAAGCGGGGCACCCCTTAGAACTGTCTGTCCGGGGTGGGGGTCGGGTCCCTTTAAGCGCAGCCCTCGGCTAGCCTGAGACAGCAACTCCACGCTCTAAGTCCTCATCTGATGCCCTGCCGGCACTGCTTCCGGCCATCCTTAACCCCGGTTCAGGGTCCACTTAGTGTGGACATGCTAGTTCAAATTAGCAAAACGCTAATTCGAACTAGTTTTTTAGTCTGGATGCGTTAGTTCGAATTAGCTTAGTTCGAATTAACTAATTCGAACTAAGTTAGTTTGAATTAGCGCTGTACTGTAGACGTACCCTGGGAAAGATTACTATTCTCTGTACCACTCCAGAACACAGGCTCACCCCCATTTTGGGGTCCCTTCTCCAGTCAAGATCGTCACTGACACTTCAGAGCACACCCCAGCATATATCAGGGGGAAGCCAGAATCTTAAGATTCAGGAAGCAATGGCAGTGTCTAGGTAGCTGACATTTGTGTTTCAGAATCAATAAACATGTATTGTGAGAGAGAGCACTCTACTCTTCGGGTGGCATGAGACCAGGGTTGTGACCACTTGATCCTAAGGGACTTTTTTTCCCTAAGAGCAGAGGGCACTAGCCTGAGTTCTGAGTGATTACATTCTGTCTTCTTCTTTTGTTGCCAGTTTGAGTGGGAGCGAGCATACAGCTTCATTTTGTATCCAAAAGTGTAGCGAACCCTTGCTGTACTCTTTTAAACATAAATCCCACCATTTATGGCTGTTGTGATTACTATATAAAGTTTGCTGCATGTCTGAAAATCCCTCAGGATGAAAGCAAGATCATCTTCACTTCAATGATTTTGAACCATTTTCTTCCTCTCAACACACACACAAAATTTACTTGGAATACTGACAAAAAATATAAGTCACTTCATTTAAATTAATTTATTTTTAGAATATCCCTTTTAATCCTGCATGCATTTTTAGCACAAAAATGTAATTTTATCACAACCTCCTTTGTAAAAGTTAGTACTTTATGTACAATAATGTGGTTGTTTTAACAGTTCCTTTGTTGCATATCCCGTGTTTGCTAAACCTTGGCACCACTGTTCAGTGACCTATATAAAGTTCAATTTAAAAAGTTTACAGAATATCCTGTTTAATGTAAACAAGGCAGGAGGCAAAACAAAAAGTGTAATATAGAGAGTAATTACTTTACAGGGCACAGAAAATATTATTAGTGATCATGATTGGAAAGCCCTGTATGATATGCATTTTATAGTTTTGGATTATCACACAACCCAGAGTACAACTGCCATGTAATCTGTAGGTTTCACATAGTACTTCATAACTGCATGGTAACTGTATATTTATACAGCAAATGCATGATAAAAAATTTTTTACCATGCATTTACAAAAAGCAATTCCATGATTACTCTTGCCCTGTAAAATCAGGTGTAACAATTGTTACACTTGCAATAGTGTAAGCAAGCTCAGGATTTCAGTCCTTACACATATATTTAAGTCATGTACTTTCAGACTGAAGCCGTGAATCAAATCACAGCTCCTATATTGCACAGATGAATACATTATACGAACATTACACAGACAAGAGTTGAATACTAGGAAGATTACAATCATAATGGAAACAGACTAAGGACAAACTTCTGTTCTGACAGAAGTTGCTTATTACAAAAGTTTCTACATCAGGTCCTAATCAAAACATACAATGAATGGCAGAAAAATAAAAATGTGCCCTTATTTACAAAAATGTGCATCAGGGTTAAAATGTAGTTTGAATTTGCTTATTTCACCAAAACTACCCAGTATTTTCCCCTCAAATATTTGAAAATAATACTATTGCCATGATCTTCAAAGGTGATAAACACCAGCGATTCAGAATATGAGGGGAAGAATTTGTAGAATATCAGAACTTCTGAATATCAGACCATGGTTCTTAGGTGTTCACTTGTGGGCAATAAATAACCACACACACTCACACGCAATGGGTAACTCAATGACATGCATAGATTCCATGACTAAAAACATAAAAGTTGAACTAATTTTTACTTTTAAAAATAAAAGTGCATAAAAAACAAGAAATAAAATTAAATGATTTCCACCTCTTAAGGAAGAATCGATTGTTTTTACAAAAAGAAAAGTTGTTGTCACAATTTATGATAATTATTGTAAGCAGCACCCATGAAACCTGGAAGGTCTCAAGCTTTCCTTAGCACTGCTTCACTTGCTATTAAAATGGAGCAACTTTTTGTAATTTGTGGCCTGAGTAATATTTGTTTTGCAAAATAATATCACCCCAGCTACTAAACACATTGAAGACTAAATTCTGGATAACTACATCATGAATTTAAGACTATTTGGAGTAATATCTTATTATTCAACTGCAAGCATTAAAACAATCCGGCTTGCAGCTAGGGAGATTAGGGATGTTAGATTTTGATTAATCAGCTAATCGAGTACTCAATGGAATTTCCATCCACTACTACATTAGTCAATACGGGGGTAGGGGGTGCTTGCTATCCCCACTGCGCTTCTGTCAGGTGGCTCTTACTACATTTATAGGAGAGAGGCGCAGCAGTCAGGACCCAGTGTAAAACAATCCGGCTTGCAGCTAGGGAGATTAGGGATGTTAGATTTTGATTAATCAGCTAATCGAGTACTCAATGGAATTTCCATCCACTACTACATTAGTCAATACGGGGGTAGGGGGTGCTTGCTATCCCCACTGCGCTTCTGTCAGGTGGCTCTTACTACATTTATAGGAGAGAGGCGCAGCAGTCAGGACCCAGTGTGAGCAGG